TCCATGTAATGAAAGTGTACATGGCATTATGTCCATAGTATTTTTTCCTGATAACCGTGCAGGTTCTTATACCTGTAAGTGCACCGGGTGCTTTTCAGGACTGCAATCGCTGTTCGGAGACGTTTTTGACCATCTGAGAGTCGCTTCCCGAAACTGACTACTTTAATGCTTGTCAGTAGTCAATATAGGCGGCGTCTATTGTCGTTGTTGAATTAGACTACGTGCATGCTCCACGAAACGCTTAATCATCCCGGAAATGCATCCGTCAGCGGATACATACGTCCAACCTGAGTGACCTTGACTTATCTATCTGCGCAGATTTTCCTGTACGTCATTCGTTTGTGGGTGTGTTCATTCTGCCTGCTTACGCATATGTACCATTGTGTCTACTGAGTTGACCGTTGGTATAACAACACCGGGGAGTCCATTACATTCTGTAGTCTCTTTGCAACCACGTAAACAAGGATTACTAACCAGTGGTTTAATACGATAAAAGTATTATCAGCATTGATGGTACACTTGTGACCCAGTAGCTTAAGTCATTTCAATCCCTTTGCGACCTTAGTCTGGCTAAATCCTCTGTGTTCGCATTGGAACTGTTTCCGAAATTCTACTCTTCGCTCTACTCCTTCATTCAAATGAGTAGCTAAAAGACAACGACCAAAACGGCCGCATGGCTGATGTTTGTATAAACTGAATCTACACTATTGTACTCGAGGTCAAAGGTGTTCTGTCACTCCCATGCAGTGCACACAAAGTTGACAGGATTATAGGTATGGTGAGTTAAAAATAAACTTCCGAGATGAGAGAAATAACTCATTCATCGTGGCCAACATGTACATCGGCATACTGAGTATATCGCCTAAAGATACCTTCTTCCCTAACTTTTTGTTCATTTTTCTGTTCATAGATTGAACTAATTCGACGTGACTATGTGGCCAACGGGGGCTGGGAGACATTCCTCGCCTACGAGGACCCGTATCAGGATATCCTGATCGGTTTGCTGCGTTTGCGACAATGCTCTTCTCTCACATTCAGACCAGAACTTCGAGTCCTCTCGGATAATAGCAGTACTGTCTGTGATACCGATCCGCGATGTTCCATCGTACGTGAGTTGCATGTGTATGGTAGCGCGGTACCAATTTCGGCCAAGGATCCGACCAAATTTCAGCACCAAGTGAGTTCCCAATACTTGTATGGCATCGTGTTACCCAATCGATAGACTAAATAAAACGTCTTCTCGTAGACGTCAATGACACTTTGTTACCGATACACACGAACTTAGGCTTTTTTATGATCACTCCGCTCTCCCCACCATTTCCAAATGGGTTCATTTACTCTCGCCGATTAAAACACTGCTTTATATATATATATATATATATATATATATATATGTCTAGTTTTTCTTCTCAACCCCGAATAATCCCAGATGCCCCCTGTTTACGCCACCCATCGAATATCAGTCAGCGTTTTACAAACAGGGTCAGACAATTAGAAGCTATAGGATTTTTAAAGCCCATGTCCCGTTTTCACTTAGCCGCGTTCAATGTCCGCACGCTCTATCAGACTGACCAACAAGCTGCCCTGGCTAGAACCCTTGAAACTTTCAATGTAGATGTATGTTGTGTCTCCAAAACACGCATACAAGACCCCACTTCCATTATCTCCTTTCGTTTTCCTGATCCAATCTCACCCTTCGTGTGTCAAGCGATTCGGCATCCGAAGCTCGCGGTGTTGCTGGTGTCGGGATTGCGCCTAGTGCCAAGGCTAAGCGCTCGCTTCTTGACNCTTATTCGTCGTATCGGCGTATGCACCGATCGATTCCAGTATACCTGAAATCAAGGATGAATTCTACAAAGATCTTTCTCAACTACTCCAAAGCACTCGGTCAACGGACGTCGTAGTAGTCGCTGGAGACTTTAATGCTCAAGTGGGATCCCTGGACGAATCAGAGAGGCTTCTTGGCGGACCGCATGCAATCCCAGCCAACCGGGCGGACAACGGAGATCGCCTACTTCAACTCTGCGCGGACCACGGATTGTTCCTGTCAAAGACGAACTTCTCGCACAAGAAACGCCATCGACTTACATGGAAACCGCCAGCCCGTTCACTGCGCCGGACCCAAATCGACCACATCGCCATCAGTTACCGCTGGA